CGAGCCCGCACGAGCGTGCGAGGGTGAGCCGCTGCTGATATCGATCACATGGCGTGACGTCACCGCTGCACATATACATACTGGTAATAAATAAGTAGGTATTTATCTTTATCCACCAATTGTAACGTGTGTGATTGAGAAATTCTCAATGTTATTTATAATGTTAATATCCTGCGGAAGAAAGGGGAGGAGAAGGGAATCATTATCATTGCGGAAAGCGCCAACAAGCCATCTTTCTGCAGCATTCAGCATTTTGTGGCGGCATAAACGACCGTTAGTATCGATTTCTTCAACTAAAGCCATACTATACTCCGTTGCTGACCTTTAAACTACTGAGCGTGTCGGTTAACTTGTTAATGGTAACTACACCGCAATTTATCCTTGAAGTTTGCGCGACGTCAACGGCGGAGGCGGCGGCGGCAATAAATGTGCAGCCCCGCGACACTGCTAAACTCGACCTACCCCCCGCGAGGTACACGCCACCCCGCAAGTGGCGGCACTTGAATCACACGCTTGCCGACTTGCCATTATCTACATCTACAGTCTTCAGTTGAAATAGTTAATAACGACAAATCCACGTATGTTTCATTATACTTGTGGTTTGTAAAGCGAAGGTAGCGTACTCTTCTTTGTTGTCTCATCGGAACTTCCACTACCAGTACTATTAATCTGCGACTTTGTATCGTTGTTTCAGACCGTGGAATTGTAATTGTAATTGTATGCCGTCAGGCCCATTAGCGTACGTTGACATGACTCCTGACTCCCACGGCAGTGTTAGTTACGTCTAGTACCGAGCGGGTGAAATTTCCGTGGTACAAGATCAACGTGCGGTCATATAATCGTAGCCTTAATCTTCTACGTCACCTACGTCTAAGACAACTAACAGGCCAACAGATAAGGCAGCTAGACGGCCGTCTGCCCGCCCCTCCGGCCTGCCCCGCCCGCTCGCCTCGGCGTGTGAGCCACTCACCTTGAGCAGCTGGCTGGTGCCCCTGCGACTTCTTACTACTACGCGCATGTGTGTGTTCACATTCAAATGTGTGCGTGCTGCATGTAGGCTTGTGCACCGCCTTGCCGTCCGTGTGGAGCGGCTTCAGAGATGCGCCTGACGTGTCCTGCCCGTTTCGCCCTTGTCGCTACTCTAACTATATTTTTGTCTAGGACTTTTCGACTACACGAGGCCCGAATGGCACAAACGTATTTATCACATAGTATCGATTGTAACTGCATTTATACATTTTTAGGGGATAACAATACATTATTATATTAAGACAAGAACGCGCACTGTGAATTAATGTGTGCCAAAATTCAAAGAAGACTGAGAAATTGTAATGTGTCTGTACGACGGCGCTAAGCGGCGCGGCGCGCGGCGGCGGAGCTCGGCACGCAGCGCACGTCGCGTCTCCACCCTCCTCCACTTACATATTATACAATTGGAATAATCTCATTTCTGCAGGATAAAGCTAATAAACGGATGATGTGCTTTGAACGTAAACACTAACCGTATTACCCCCAAAATCTAGCTAGAACTAGAGTTTCCACTCTTTGTCCTCTGCTGATTTTATGAACATCAATGTGGTCATTAAAATACAGTGTTCATGGTGTTTGTATCTATTTTCCTATCGTACGTGTGTCATTTGTTTTCTTAGCTTGTACGTGCCGTGCGAAATGTGAATAAAGTGTGACTCACAGCGTGTGCAGCGCGGGCAGCGGCGGCAGCGCGGCGGCGGGCAGCGCGCCCAGCAGGTTGCCTCCCAGGTCCCTGCAACAGACGCACACTTCACCTCACCGTACAACATCTCACTATTGCAGACCACTCGCCAGGCCTACTGCGCCACGCCTCTTAACTTGCCTGTATACATTGCTTTTGCTATCACAATGTTCGTTTTTCTTATAAATTTTAATTGAAGCGCTTTTAAAGGTTATATCATTATGTTTTGCAACGGTGTCAAAGGGAACCTTGATATTTAGCGAGCAAGTTTTAAGTGCGGGCCCCGCGCATTGCTCCTACTCGTATGTCATGTATTAGAAAGTGTCGGCGGCCGTCGCGTCGTGCTGCGTCGCCGCCGCGCTGTGCCGTGTCGTGTGTCGTGTGTACATTAGTGGGTCACGCTCGGCTCGGTGCACGACTGTAGGCGACATGCAGTTAGTAAATGTTACAACGCTTACAAAGCTCAATTACGCACACATTGATTAGGACGAGTGCAAGTTATTAATGCAAGTGCTCACTGATTACGACAAAACCTGTCTGCACCATAGCTGATTAGTGCAAAAGTTGAGCGATCATTGTATACAATCTTGTCCTATTTGTTGTACGAGTAATAATTGTCACGTAGTTTACGTTGTCGCTGAACATACATTGCCTGCCCCTTCATTGGTTGCTTGCACGCACATTGGCCACGATTGTTTACTTTGCGTTGCCTAGCAACTAAATTTTATCTTGATGGACCATAAATGTCAGTGCGTGTACGTCACGATCTTTCTGTGTGAGGACATACTATATCCGTTGTATTTGAGATATTACAAAAAGCCAAATGGGCATGTGTCGAGCACGCGTAGTGTCGCTGCGGCAGTGTGAGGGGGGTCACTCACAGCGCCTGCAGGCGCGGCGTGCTGGCGAGCGCGGCGGGCGGCGCGCGCAGGCGGTTGCCGGGCGCGCGAAGGACGCGCAGTCCGCGCGCGCCGTTCAGCTCGGCCACCGTGAGCGTCTCCAACTCGTTGTCCGCCACCGACCTGCGCACACGCACACCGTACCGACACCGTACTGACACCGCACTACATCGCGCTACACCACGCTCTGCACTCAAACAAGTCACTGCCATAATTTAGGACCACGATTCAAATATGTTATTCATAAACAATAAAATTAAGTATTTATTATGTCACGCTGAGGAAACTTTACGGGAACAACTAGTCTATATCTACGTTTATCTAGCTATACCAATATTATAAAATGTAAACACACACAATTTAGTTACGTAGAATATCAGCAACCGCAGTATATTTTTGTATAATCCATTTTTTCGTAAAATGTTTTACACTTACGATACTCTTTAGGCAATACATTTTCACGCTACTAAACTTAGAGGGTAAATAATTTGGAAAAAGCGGTCATGCGGAAAAGGGACAAAAACTACAAGCTGGCAACATCCAGGAAGCAAGGTTCCCATGGTAACGGTAATTGTTATCCAATGTCAAAGGTCTTTCAAAGAAGAACTCCAGATTTCTTGAAGGTGATGTTTTTGCGTTGCTAAAACGGAAATTGCATTAAATCTTATGCCTGTCTGTCCACAAGCCGGATTCGTACCAAGTAATCTCCGTAATTAAAACATTTAATTTGATTTAACGTTTGTATTAGGTATGTTAAGATTGTAACCCTCATGTTACATATATACTCATCAGAAGGGAAAAGAGTTGGACAACTATTCACTCAGAGTATCGAAATTCCCCCTTACCCTAGCCTCGATCTAGCCTAATTCATCGACTGGCGACGCCTATGTTTTCATACCGGCCGGTTGGTGTTTTTAAGGTAAGTTCCGCTCGAGCCGAGCCGTATGTCTGGTCGCGCAGGCGCAGGCGGCGCCGGGCGGCGCCGGGCGGTGCGGGGCGGTGCGGGGCGCGGGATGCGCGTCTTTGTAAACATCACTCACTATAATAGCTGCGGTATAAATACATATTATGTGAGCGGCGCCGGCGGTCGACGACCCGCTCAGGCGCCGCCACCGCCGCGCCAGTTTTACATTCCCTGCCGGGCGGCACCCCATCATCTCCTAACATTTCGTTGCCGCCAAGATTTTCTCAAGTTATCTTGTTTGTTATCTTGTTTAGTTTAACTTGAGAAAATCTTGCGTATTTCCGCATTCTCGCCACTAACACCACAAGCTCCTCGTTTGTCTATCTCGGCTTATGATTGCCGTCGATAGGTTTAAAATCTTAAAATAACATTTTCTTGTTATTGATGGACACCGCGGATCAAAGTACGGCGACCCGCCCGGGTCCCCCGCCAGCAATCACCACTAACGTTACCGCCGTCGAATCATATGCATCCCTTGGGACCGCAGTCGCAAAAGGTTCGTCGCAGGCCGCGGGCCGCGGGGCAGGGAGGTTACGTCGCACACTTCGGACATTATCCGGCACCAGTCGGAGCGTATCGGCAGTCGCCGGTGCCTCTTTAATCGTTGTCTATTTTTCGTGTTAACGTTTTAGAGTCAATTGACTGTATAATTAGTTACACAACTACGAGCTTTATTTATTCAAAGAAATAAAGCTACATTAAACGGCGTGGCCCCACGTAGCGTAAGCCGGCGTACGTGTATTATTGTGAGTTGTAGTATATACGAGGCCGGAAGCCGCCAGGCTTCGCCGATGAAACCGGTGCGCAAGGTCGCCGGACTTAGGAAACCGGTCCCACCTTCATTACCATAATGATTTAATAACAAACAGTACTAAAGTACTTTGCACTTTCCGCCAAATATTCCAGTACCAATGACATTTCCACTTACAATGAGCCCGGTCTACACACTACATCCACACCAACAAATTATACTACTTACATATTTACATAAACAAATGATATCATTAATGAAGCCAAAATGAAATAGTACGAATTATATTGTTGTGGCTATTTAACATCGCGCTGCAACCGATCAAATAAAATAAATGCAAATGTAACAAGCTGTATGGAGCGAGCGACACTACGAGGCGAAGCTCGTCTAAGGCGGAGAGTGGCGAGGGGCGACGCGGGGCGGTGCGGCGTACTCACAGCAGCAGCAAGGCGGGCCAGGAGGCGCGCGGCAGCCGGCGCAGCCCGCACCGGTCCAGCCACAGCCGAGCCAGCGCGCGCCCGCTCAGCGCGCCCGCCGCCGCGCCCTGCTCCAGCCGGTTGGCAGACAGGTTCCTGCGCACCACACCGTACCACCTCACCACCTCGACAACATTCTAATTATTGTATTCTGTATTGCTTACATGTAATTAATATATCCATAAATACACAATTAAGACAAATATGTGCATTGTACACGACATGTTCATTGTTACATCCACGTCAGGAATGTATATCATTTTTGTATAATGTTCTTACGTGTCTTGATGTGCGACGGTCGTGGTTGGTACTCTGTTGCGGCGTGGCTCCCGCACTCCACTTGATCCGCTGCTTCATTGCGTTACTTCAAATGTACATGTGTACAACTAAACACGACTATTCATTTCAAGTCAAGAAAGTTGTTGTCGCCCCCGGATGACGGCGAAAAGAAACAAGGATTTTAAAACGCTTGTTTAATATAATAACATAAGTAGTTTAATTTAAAGAAAGCCTCAATTCCAGCAATTAAAGTCCCTAGCTGGTAACGTTGAGAATAGTGTTTTACCTAAAGTTATGTAAATGGATTCGATGCCTTGTTTCCCCACAATTGGAAATCGATAATATAGAATATTTGCCAGTTCGTGCGCTGACGCAGCGACGTCGCGCGCATTGCTAATGCCGCCACCCGCCACCGACTCGATGCTGAATACATGACTTCATTACATTCATGTGACCGAAACCGACAACATTTCTCAATCCATTCGCCTCGAGACTGACAATGTCGTGCCGCGTGAAGGTATGCATCGTTCATCGACTGATCGTCTTGGTGAATTGAAAGGAGGCAAGCGACCCTTGAGGTGCCTTTCTACTCGTGGTGGTCAATGCAGTGTCAAGCCATGTGTGTCAATTCCGTGCCGTGTCGAGAAATGTTTAAACATTTAGTCGTACAACTCTATCTAGTCTATATAAGGACCACAACACCCGCGTCGAACCTTAACTACGATTTTGAATTTGGCACACGTCTCTCGCTAGATTAGCATATACTCGTAGTACAGCTCTGAGGCCACCTCACACTACTTCGAGCGGCAGCTCAATAGTTCCGTACCTAGTGTACGAATTTAAAAAGATTGAATAATCGTGTTATGATACGAAATATAGAGATAAACATTGAGAGGTCACTTACGTTTTAATAATACTAACGAACCACAAAACTATTTTAACTTTGATTTCGGTTGGTTGTAACATTGACATACATAACGAACAAGGTTTAAATTAAAGTTTTTGATAAGGCTTAGCTTCCGCAGCGATGACGGCCGCCGCGCGCCTCGCCCCGAGCCGTAGTCATATTCCATACGTCACTTACATATTATTAATTAGTTTTGGTTAGCACTTTTGTTACATATGTTAATGTCGAATGTGTAAAGCGAAGCAAGTTATTTGCGGGGCAGAGCGGGCAGAGGGGGCAGAAGGGGCACTCACAGATCGCGCAGCGCGGTGGCGGACTGCAGCGCCTCCGGGGGCAGCGCGGTGATGTTGTTGTCGGACACGTCCCTGCAACACAGACGGCGGTTAGGTCGCTGGCTTCATACACGACGGCACAAGCCGCTGGCAAGTGAAGTCCGACGCTGTAGGCAACAGCCATCGCGTCTGTTATAAGTAAATTTTCCCACAATTCTGCTAAAGGAAAAATATTTCTACTCAGTTAGATCATCTTACTGAATTGTATAGAACGTTACAAGTTGCTTGCTTGTCAAGTATTTATTCTTACAGTTCTATTCTTACATTACATATTACATTCTTCTACAGTTACCTAATAATAAAAAATCACATTGGTACGTAACGGGATACGAACCCAGAACTTGTAGATTACAAGTCAAGTGTTAAAAGTCCGAGCCACTGACGCTTTCTGTATATAGTATCGAAAAATAAAAAACAGATTTTGCCAAGATGCCAATAACAAAAATCGCAATTAGAAAAATATCTGTCTGTCTCCCTCTTTTCAAGCCGCGTTTGTTCCGAGTTATCTCCGGTCTCCAGAATGGGGATGGGATGGTAGCTGATCTGATACACGCGGGACTTGGCACATTTTTTTTTTAATTCTGCTCTTATGCAGTTACCGGAAGACCACTCTTCCTGTCGATTCCTATAGGTACACATTTTATCGATTCTACCAGTGATATCGCTAATCGAAAGTTACTTTGTCTAAGGGAACTGCCAAGTTAAGAACTGGTAAGTAATAGGCGAAGTAGTATTCGTTCTTTGTGTTCGTTCCATTCATATAATATAGCAGTCAGTGAGACAATCGGTCAATTTCCCTCAGTAGGTAAATAAGTAAAAAACAATTTCAGTACGTTTGACGTTTCATACTTGGAGTTTGACCTGAGATTTTCTTGTTGAGGTATGTACCGAATGTTTGTGTAATACTTGTGACGTGTTCTTGTCGGTTCGTGGTGAGGCGAGAGGGGCGACAGACGTGAGGGCCAAGTGGGGGGGTGGGTTGACGAGCAGCAAGTTATTGCGGCAATCTGTCACCCCTCCCCCGCCTGATATCGCCTGCCCCGCATCTCCTCCCTTCATTCATTCATTTCATTTTTCATTTTTCATTCAATTGAGTAACTTGCTTGTATTTATTTGAATTAAAGGCCTTATAATGTGTCTGTTACCTAGGAACTTTTAAACTGACTACCTATTGCTTACATTTATTTAGAATGATAAACTAGTCATTTTGTAACAATACGACGCATCCCGCGTCTCGGTATGGCGTCTAGCGGCCAGCGGGTTCATTGTGCACTAAGAGGATTACGATATCAATACCGGCAAACTCCTCTTTGAGATAGGGTTTCTAGATCGGAGGGGAGAGGCGGCGTGGGGGGCCCACGAGCCGCGCGGTAAGCGAACCCCGCCGCTGCACGAAGCCCGCTGTCGTCGCCCTCCTACCACATAAATCTCACTGATTTTTATATGAGAACAACGACTTCGGTCCGGGGTCCGACTTAATTAACTATATTCAGACAAAAAAGAGAAATTTTCAGCTATAATGGTTGTGTTGAAGGGCAAACGCACGGGCGGGTGCGGGGGCACAGTCGCCATAACACGAACCTTATTATAAACGTCATAAGAATTTTCTCTCCTCGCATTTGATGTAGTGATGTTCTATATAAAGCCACAACAAGGCGCGCAGAGTGCGTTGTGCGTTGTACGTTGATTTTATTACTATGATTTTCAATATTAGGAGAGTAGGTATGTACTCGTGATAGCGGTTGCGGTGACAACCGCAGCAGGCCGCGTGCGGTCTTCATTGTCGGCGCGCAACCTTCGTCGCAGTAACCTTTTCCTTGGCTTAACACGCTCGTGGATAAATCAATAAAATCCTTACGCTTTTGCTTCCAATTGTTCTCGTATAATTAAAATTTATATTGGGGGATTGTCCTACCATGTTTGTTTTTTTTTTTGTATCACATATTTTGTTTTAACCAATATTGTAAATGTAATTAATGTATCGTAAGCAATACTCTAAAACTCTAAAAGCAATTTTGAAAAAAAATATTCGCGAGATGAGTGCATATGAAAAGCGGAAGAGCGAGAGATATGGATCCAGGGGGACAGGCGAAGGGGAGCCGCAGGGTAATGATTGTTGTGTCACGAGGTCGACGGACTGTGTGACGTCACGGGACCGCCGCGCCGGCCGCGCCGGCCGCGCCGTCGCTGGGCTCGCGGTACTCATCGATATTGTAATAAGCCCGCTTTGCGATGTTGTGCGATGAAGTTACTGTACAAGAGACAATACAACGCTGTCACGTGCCTGGACCCGTACCTACAAACGTTTCCGTCCCCATGTCTCTGACCGTCCTGTCTCTTCTCTGAAAGTACAAAACTACTCATTCGAGTCAACTAGTTAAGGTACTGAAACTGAAACTGTTGGGCGAAAGGTCCACAAAGCGATTATTTGCGCTGTACAACAATAAATTGTAATGATGTGTTGAAAAACCTAAACCAATGGTACATAATACATGTGATATGTGATACTTTGTCATGTCGCCAAAAGCAGGTTTTCCAAGTGATAATAGTTATTTAATATAGACGTCGGTATGTACATATGTATGTATGTACCTATTTTTACTCGAATGCGTCAGAAGGTTTGGTAAATACTGAAATTTCAATAATTCTTTAGTTATTCACATTGCACATTGATTTAGTCTGCTTAAAAAGTCGGTGATTTTTTTTTGTTTTAAACAATTCCCAGTTTCTGAATTAATTTGATTTTCAATGAGAAATAAAGAGGAGAATACATAATCTTTCATGTTGCAACATTGCTGTATAAAGGATCCTGCAAGCAATGAGTACCGACACCTTTTGTTTTGCATTCATTTTTGACATTCATTGACATACATTTTTGTTATAAGGTTTGTGGAAACATTTATTTAAGTTACTGAGGGCCAATACAGAGATTACTTATTTAAGTTAAAGAGGTTGTATATTTTAAGATGTAGAGATTTTTGGCTCTAATGGAAGGTATAGAGGTTTTTAAGATACCGAGGTTTGAGCTATCGAGGTTTTTCTGTATTTGTATTTTTTTTGGTTATAAATTATTGCCGATAACTTGAAATTAAAAAAATACCAGTCTGTGCCATTCCGCGGGGCACCTCTATATGAGCTGAGGACGCCTAGTAGTCACCATATAGTAAGTTGGAATTATCAACTTTATGCAAATCCCTGCTTGAAAACTAAACTTTTTCTATATCTATTTTAGCGAGGCGTGACAACGCGTCTTATAAGATACGTACCGAGGCGTACAAAGATATGACGACGATTCTTTTAGCACATTCTACTCACAATCAGCCGTAACAACATTTCGCTGCTCCTCGCGTTTACCAACTCTCATTTTCATTCATAAAACGACTTGTAGTCAGTCATATCTCGGTATATTTTTTATTTGCATTTGTTTCTAGCTGTTATTCACGACTTCGTCCACGCCGAAATTAAAAAATAGTAGAAAATATAGCCTATGTTACTTACTGCTAAAGTAGCTTTTTTAATGTTGAAAGATTTTTTTTAATCGGTCCAGTAGTTGAGATATTTCAATACATACATAAATCCAAACATACAAATCTTTCCTATTTATAATTGAAATAAATAAAAAAAACAGTTTAAACATTTTTATACAAAATGGCAATTTCATAGGTAAAGACTAATACTTTGTTGTTGTTTACATCGATGTAACATCTGAGCGGAAGCGGATATATGGACTAGTGATGTCACAACACTGCGGTCGCGTTTTAGTCGCAATAAAATTATTGTGATTACATTTTACTTTTTAGCGTAGTGGTTCGTTTTTTTTTCATGTCTATTTCTTTCTGGTTATCCTATAACAAATAAGAACGTTAAAAAAAATGTAACCCGTATTAACAAGCCTTTAGTTGGTAGACAACATAGTCAAGTTAAGCTCGCTGCTTATCCAAGTTAGGGGTGTTTAGGCCATCCTAGACACCCCTAAGTGGTAGGGAGATTAATAATAATCTAAATTATTTACACAAACTATAAAGTTTGTGTAAATAATTTAGATTAGTTTGACAATTCATTTTAAATTTTGTAGGAATGGGTTGTGTAAAATCAGATTTTCGATTTTTATTCTTATAGAATTTGGAATCGATAGATTTACAGTCATAACTTATGAAATAAAAGAAAACACTGTTTTCTCAAATTAACAATGACCATAACAAATAATGAGAGTAAATAAATGTGTATTACTACTACAGCCGTACGTAATCGAATTGGATTTCGCTATTATTTCTGTCATCGCTAAATTCTCTAAACTGTAATCAATACTAGAATTGCCCTCTAAATTAGTAAATAAGAAAATAATAATTTTAGTTAAGTTCGATAATTATTTAAACCGAATATCGATAGTTCAAAATTGTTCGCTATGTGTGTTTGTTTCGTCACTACGATACCTGTATATTAAGTATGGCATTTGCCTTCGTTGAAATTGAATTCGATACTTCATATGCTTCATTTGTCAAACTAATCTATCTAATTTAGACACACTATAGTGTTTGTAACACAAGCGTACCTACATTTACCAGTGCTTTGAAAAAGGTTCCTAAATTCGCGAAAACGTGTGTCAAAATTATTAACAAAAATTAAAATATTTATAACAATCGTTAAAATGTCAATTATTGTTATTTATTATACTAGGTTTCGCCTGCGACTTCGTCAATCAAACATCCATCCATCTTTACTTTCGCATTCTTAATACTAATATTAATAGGTTTATTTGAAAACAAATTAAAACCCATATTAAGTGTAACAAACAAAATGTTGTATTTTGCTTCAGTAATAAAAATATTGATTTGTATTTAAAATGTGAGAACTATCTTCACCTTACTTTAATGCTTAGTAAGAATTTGAAACGACATAACCTGATAATCTTTTTATTTCGGGGCCAAAGAGCAAACATTCACTCACAATAATGAAATGAAGAAAACGTAACTAAGAAAAAATTTTCCTGTACGTTTGTGTCGTGGAAAAGACATCAACGAAAAAGATAATACGCGGGAACAGAAGGAAGTTAATTAGTAGTTTTCCGAGTGCACCATAGAGTATGGCCGAGTGAGGAGTAGGAGCGGGCAGGGGGTACTCACAGCTCTAGCAGGCGGGCGTGCAGCGGCGGCAGGCGGCGCAGCGCGGCGGCGCGGCAGTGCAGGCGCGCGCCCGCCTCGCCGCACGCGCAGCCCGCCGGCAGCGCGCCGCACGCCTCCGCGCTCGCCGCCAGCGCCAGCGCCAGCGCCGCGGCCACAGCCACACGCACCGCCGGCGGCATGCTTCACCTGCCCAGCATCCTCCGCGCCGCACACGCTCCGTACGCGCACCGGACACTGCCACACATTCACACAACACGAAACAGACGACACCGACACAAGCGATCGCGAGAGAGGCGCGGCGCGGACTAGCAGGCTGGCGGCTGGCGTGGGATGGGAGCCGGTGCCGGCGTGTCTGCCGCCACACGCCCCCCACCCCCGGCCCTCAGCCCCTCGTCGCGGAGGACCTCGACCCCGCCAGGGTGAAGCGAGATGACAGGCGGGAGTCTCGCCCTCAATCGGCGGCGAAAGCGACGGGACGCAGATCTGCTTGTATACTTTTCTCATGGAAAAAATTTCGAGGAAAGCCACCAGAAAAAGTTACCACTGATCGTTCTAATTAGGCCATGTATGGTGTTGTCCGTAAGTCGTTTTAAAAAGAAATATCTGATTTAAAATCAAAGAGTTTTAAAAAATATGTAGGTATTTTGATTTGAATTGGCTTTGTTTAAATGTAAATAAATCATGAAATTCGAAATATAAAATACTTTTAGTGAATTATAATAATAATTAATGAATCATATTATGTAACAATTTAGACATTTTGTAGTTTAGACTAAATAAAGTAGATACTTGTTCAAATTCTTGTTGAAAATCACTTAACGTTCACAACAAAATGTGCAGGACAACCGTCTTGCTAGAATGTCGTCTTTTAAGTGCAGATAAAAGCAGGTCTTCAAGAAGTCGGTTGGCGGATCTTTGGAATAATATAGTTACTATTTATTATGCACGAGCTGTCGCTTGCAATCTTCTTAAGCGCGCAATTACATAAAGAAATGGTCGGTTATAGGTCGTCTACTGAAACTTTTCCATGCTTTGTGTAAATGCCACCAAGACCCTGTGATGTACGGGAGAAGATGTTTCTCACACCGTTATAACAACGTTCACGTCCGGCAGATAGGTGTGATGTCATTCGGTTCGATCCGCGGCTGCCAACACAACCCGCCCGCAGGCTTCGCTTGTCACTCCTCATTCAACTCCTGGATCCGCGCCCGCAAGCAAACTAATCTCCGCCCTGCCATTGTTGACTGATGACATCCAATTGACTTTTAAATAAATAAAATATATTGAGGTGTGGAGTGCGGGGTGGTGCGAAATAACGAACACGTCTGATTTGGATAACGCTCTGCTTTAATGTAACTTAAAACTAACACTAGCTCACATACTTAAAGAAATATGACGTTCCCCCACCTCATCACCGGGGAAGCAAAAGAAAAAAAAAATTATTAAGAAATACATTTTTTTGACCGGCTTCCCAAAACAAGGAAGGACTCAATTCGTCGATATGTTTTTTTTTATGTGTGTTACGGCATAACTCCGCCGCTAGTGGACCGATTTTGATAGTTCTTTTTTTTGTTATCCGAAAGGTAATAATAATAATAATACAGTAATCTGCAGCCCTGACCACTAGTTGCTTGAGTCATCGGATTCCGCAGCCGGTGGACTTCTATTTTTTTATATAATATGTTTTATTTTGTTATTTTTTTTAAATCATGTGAAATATATTATATATAAAAATAAGAAGGTAAAGATATGAGATAATACTATTAATAATAATAATAAACTTTATTTCAAGCTACATTTTTTTGCTCAGTTAGTAACAGAAAAAACTTAATACCTATGTTAGTCACACATACATCCTGTTGGCGTCGTTTTCACTCCGCACTAATAGATGGCGCTGGGGCGAGACCGTCTTACATTGAAACGCGATATTGTGAACGTCTCGCCACAGATCTAGTCGCCCATTAGTCGCGGGCACTTCGGTGATTTGGTGGTTGTTTCTTGCGTTTTTTTGTGATTGTCGTTGTGTTCTGTAGAAGTCGTTTGCTCGTTTGTTTCTGGTTGGTGTTGGGGCTGGCTCGCACCAGGGATGCGCATCTTTATGTAGTCAATGTAGATTCATTACTTAAACGTTACTATACTTACAATTGTTAACTGTTATAGTAAAAATGTGGAAACCCTTACGTAGAAATATCACAGCATGACTCGGCTGACACCAACTTCAAAGCAATAAAAATTGTACAATATAGACTTAACAGCTACAATAAAGGAGGTTTACTATTTTTAAGGAATTATTTTGTTACTTTTAGTGTACTGTTTTTTTAGTGTATTTTGTTGGGAAGTCAGTTTTTATTGTTTTTTTTGTCTGATTTTTTGGGTACTAATAGTATAGGACGGGACCACTCACTTGTCGCGACTTGTCACCTCTCTGCCTACTCCTCCATCGCTCAACGCGGACATCGTGCTATATGCACAATGCGCTATGCGCTATTTGTATAACGCGATATGCGATTTTCGAGTTTCGACTTTCGAGTTTTCGATAAGCGAAATAAGATATGCGCTATGCGCTATGCGCTATGCACTATGCACTATGCGCTATGCGCTATTTGCATAAAGCGATATGCGATTTTCGAGTTTTGAGTGTTCGATAAGCGATATGCACTATGCGCTATGCGCTATTTGCATAACGCGATATGCGATTTTCGAGTTTCGACTTTAGAGTTTTCGATAAGCGATATGCGTTATGCGTTATGCGCTATGCGCTATGCGCTTTGCGCTACGCGCTATGCGCTATGCGCTATGCGCAACGCGCTATGCGCTACGCGCTATGCGCTACGCGCTATGCGCTACGCGCTATGCGCTATGCGCTATGCGCTATGCCACATGCGCTATGCCACATGCGCTATGTACTATTTGCATAACACGATATGCGATTTTCGAGTTTCGACTTTCGAGTTTTCGATAACCGATATGCGTTATGCGCTATGCGCTATTCACTATGCGCTATGTGCTATTTGCATAACGCGATATGCGATTTTCGAGTTTCGACTTTCGAGTTTTCGATACGCGATATGCGTTATGCGCTATGCCCTATGCGCTATGCACTATGCGCTATGCATTATGCGCTATGCGCTATTTGCATAAGGCGATAAGCGATTTTCGAGTTTTGAGTTTTCGATAAGCGATATGCGTTATGCGCTATGCGCTATGCGCTATGCCACATGCCCTATGTACTATTTGCATAACACGATATGCGATTTTCGAGTTTCGAGTTTTGAGTTTTCGATAAGCAATACGCGTTATGAGCTTTGCGCTAAGCGCTATTCGCTATGCGCTATGTGCATAACGCGATATGCGATTTTCGATTTTCGAGTTTCGAGTTTTCGATAAGCGATACGCGTTATGCGCTATGCGTTATGCGCTAAGCGCTATGCACTATGCGCTATGTGCATATCGCGATATGCGATTTTCGATTTTCGAGTTTCGAGTTTTCGATAAGCGATACGCGTTATGCGCGATACGTTATGCGCTAAGCGCTATGCGCTAAGCGCTATGTGCATAACGTGATATGCGATTTTCGATTTTCGATTTTCGATTTTCGATTTTCGAGTTTCGAGTTTTCTATAAGCGTTACGCGATATGCGCTATGGGCTATGCGCTATGCGCTATGCGCTATGCGCTATGCGCTATGCGCTATGCGCTATGCGCTATGCGTTATGCGCTATGTGCATATCGCGATATGCGATTTTCGATTTTCGAGTTTCGAGTTTTCGATAAGCTATACTCTTTATGCGCTATGCGCTATGCACTATGCGCTATGCGCTATGTGCATAAC